CGAGTATCAAAACCAAATACTGAGTACCGATTACCATGTACCAAGTACTGCGTAATGAGTAACAAGATAACCAATTGACAAGAAAAGACTACCACTACACTCACCTGGACTTGGACTACAACCTTTGGTAAGGAAGTTAAGCATAATAACAACTTTCATTTTTTCATTATTGCTGATGTTTTGCTGAATGACAAGGAAAGACTACCAAATCACTCACCTTGACATGGACTACAACTGTCATTTTTCATTATCATTTTCCTATATTGACTACCGAGTCTCGAGTACCAACCACTGACCACCAATCACCGAGTGCCGAGTACTGAGTACCGATAGGGAATAGCGTGGGTGAACCCCAGGGTATGAGTAGCACTACCCCCACCCATACCCCATGATATACCTACACCCACCTTGTGGGTGTGGGTTTTTTGGTGGGTATCAGGGAGAAACTACCGAGTCTTGAGTACCAACCACTGACCACCAATCACTGAGTGCCGAGGACCAAGTACCCAGTACCGAGTACCGAGTCCCGAGTCTCAAGTCTCAAGTCCCGAGTCTCGAGTCTCGAGTCCCAAGTCTCGAGTCTCGAGTCCCGAGTCCTGAGTCTCGAGTCCCAAGTCCCAAGTCTCGAGTCCCGAGTCCCGAGTCCCAAGTCCCGAGTCCCGAGTCCCGAGTCCCGAGTCCCGAGTCCCGAGTCCCGAGTCCCGAGTCCCGAGTCCCGAGTCCCGAGTCCCGAGTCCCGAGTCCCGAGTCCCGAGTCCCGAGTCCCAAGTCCCGAGTACCATGTCCCGAGTCCCGAGTCCCGAGTCCCGAGTCCCGAGTCCCGAGTCCCAAGTCCCGAGTACCATGTCCCGAGTACCATGTCCCGAGTACCGAGTCCCGAGTACCATGTCCCGAGTACCGAGTCCCGAGTCCCAAGTACCAACCACTGACCACCGATCACTGAGTGCCAAGTACCAAGTACCAAGTACCAAGTACCGAGTACTGACAAATACAATTCCCAGGTTATTTGAGCCCTACACCAATGGATAATACATACAAATACAATTGTGTCCATTTGAAGTACCGGGTTTCAGGTTTTGACACTCGACACTTGGTGATTTGCGAAATGAGTGAAAAATGGACATGTTGTGTACATGATTTTGGGTTTCAGGCTTTGGGTCTCGGCCCTCGGCACTCGGAACTCGATGATTTGAGTAATGTAAATGAAAAATTAACATGTTGCATGCCGGGTTTTGAGTTTTGGGTTTCAGCACTCAAAACTCAGTGATTTGTACAGTGAGTGAAAAATGGACATGTTGTGTACATATTTTCGGGTCTCGGGGTTCGGGTTTCGGCCCTCGGAGCTTGGAACTCGATGATCTGTGTAATATAAATGAAAAATCAACATGTTGCATGCCTGGTTTTGAGTTTTGGGTTTCAGCACTTGAAACTCAGTGATTTGTGCAACAAGTAAAAAATGGACATGTTGTGCACATATTTCAGGGTTCGGGTCTTGGACCTCGGCACTCGTAACTCAATGATTTGTGTGATGTAAATGAAAAATCAACATGTTGCACACCAGGTTTCCAGTTTCACGCTTTGGCACTCGAAACTCAGTGATTTGTGCAGTGAGTGAAAAATGGACATGTTGTGTACATATTTTCGGGTCTCGGGGTTCGGGTTTCGGCCCTCGGAGCTCGGCACTCAATGATTTGTGTAATTTAAATGAACAATGAACATGTTGCATGCCTGATTTTGAGTTTCGGGTTTTGGCACTTGAAACTCAGTGATTTGTGCAACAAGTGAAAAATGGAAATGTTGCATACATATTTTCGGGTCTCGGGCTTCGGGCTTCGGCACTTGGCACTTGGCACTTGGTTATTTGTGTGATATAAATGAAAAATCAACATGTTGCACACTGGGTTTCCAGTTTCACGCTTTGGCACTCGAAACTCGGTGATTTGTGCAGTGAGTGAAAAATGGACATGTTGTGTAGATATTTTCGGGTCTTGGGGTTCGGTGTTCGGCACTTGGAACTCGATGATTTGTGTGATATAAATGAAAAATCAACATGTTGCACACTGGGTTTCAAGTTTCACGCTTTGGCACTCGAAACTCGGTGATTTGTGCAACAAGTGAAAAATGGAAATGTTATGTACATATTTTCGGGTCTCAGGGTTCGGGTTTCGGCACTTGGCACTCGGAACTCAATGAATTGTGTAATGTACATGAAAAATGGACATGTTGCACACTGGGTCTCAAGTTTCACACTTTGGCACTCGAAACTCGGTGATTTGTGCAGTGAGTGAAAAATGGACATGTTGAACAATGGGTTTCAGGGTCTCGGGTTTGAAAAATAGCATAATAACAACTTTTATGTTTTCATTATCATTTGCCTATATTGACTACCGAGTCTGACAAGAGACCCCTTGGATAATTCATTGCTCAATGAAATACTACCTGATTGGAAGTGTGCTGGTTATCAGATATTCATTTGTCGACTCCCGGGTCCCGGAACTCGGAAGTTGGTACGGTTGACCCAAATTTGGGTGGTCGGAACTTGGTGTCTCATAGGGCAACACAAGCTTCACACCCTGGATTCCAAATTCTGCAAGACAACCTGTGCACCATCAAAGGCCATGTCAGGAGATCACCTGCTACTCCGGGAACTCGGGAACTTTGATTTATTACCTCCTCTGAGTATGGTTGACCCAAAGGTTGGTAATCGGAACTTGGCTTCTCATAGGGTAACACAAGCTTTGCACCCCGTATTCCAAATTTTGCAAGACAACCTGTGCACCATCAAAGGCCATGTCAGGAGATCACCTGCTGCTCCAGGAACTTGGTAACTTTGATTTTATTACCTCCTCTGATTTGGTTGATGTACAACTACCTCAGCTCCATCATGTCTACAATTATGATACACATGGGCCCACCCATCTATATTTTATACCACCCTTGGCCCACCCGTCTAATACAACATCCCATACAACACCCTCAGCCCACCTGTCTAATTGATATGTGTCTGGGCCCACCCATCTAATACAATATTTTATAATACCCTCGGCCCACCCGTCTAATTTAATATGTGTCTGGGCCCACCCGTGAATGTGATAACAAGTACCTACCCATCTATCTCATACACATCTACCTTAATACACCCATCTGCATAACATCCAACTACCTCGGCCCACCCGTCTACCTAATATTCATGTACATCGGCCCACTCATCTACTCTATATATCCCCTGCATGGGCCCACCCAACTCCATCGGGAATAATTTGCCTCCCGGCCCATCCGTCATAGTCGAGGATATTTTTATCATGGGCCCATGGTCCGCTGGCCCGTATCATATGGGATATTATGCACGTCCGTTCCCTCATATTATACGGAGATAGGTCACTGTAATATGTGTTCAGTGCATGTATCAGTTGATGATAGAATTATTGAATATATGGAGATGCACCCAAGCAAATAAAGTACACATCCGTCTCATCCGTTTTCTGGCTCCACTTCCCCAAATTCTCAAGGCCAGCTTGTAATGCATCAGCAATGCTGGAGAACTTCTTGTCATCTGCCATATTTTGCCAGCTTTGCTGCAAGAACTCCAACACTGGAATTGCTCGCCAGACTGTTGGATTCTTTGTGCTAGAAAAACTTTGAATAGCATTGGCAGGCTCCTGTAAGACAGTGCAACAGTTAGATATAGAAGACTCAAAGATAAGTTAACACTGCACCTGAAGGACTTCTCGGAGAAGTGAAAGCTGGACCCAATCACTTTGACTTAACTTGAAGTCAGCATACTCCTTCTTTCGCAAGTTCGGCACATCATCACTGTCATCAGCAAGACGTACAAAGTGGTTGACACCCTGCAAATGATTAGTATGATATTGGTTATTGAAAAAAAGTGCACCTTCTGCAACAGAAGAAGGCAAGTGAGACATGTGAAGAGTGAGGCCCACTGTAGAAGCTCAAGGACAGGCACTCAGCACACGATTGGCGGAAAAACACATGAGCTTGAGGTGACTTTTGGATCTAGTCAAATAATATTAGTAATTCACTTCAACAATGAGTAGCATCACACACCTGCACAATGAGCGCAAGAGCCTTCCTGAGTGCATCAGATGTGTCGGAATTGTTGTCATTGTCATTGTTGTTGTTGCCAGCACCAAGTTTTGAGCTGCTTGTAGGTCCAATTGCCTGTGAAAAATGACCTGCAGCCACATTGATTGCATGCTCCATACACCTAACTCTATGCTGATGATGGTCTTCGATCCTGGCTTCAGGAACCACTTCGGCAAATGTCTTGATGGCTGAATCGTTGTTCGTCGCATTGTCAGCTGTCAACCACCTGATCTATGTGATTTTGCATTAGTTCAATCATGATACAACCAATAAAGTATGTTACCTTCTTTTGCAACCCAAAACAGTCCACAATTCGAACAAGAATGTTGCCGATGTTCTCTCCTGAGTGATTCCCTTCAATGGAAGTGAAAGCGAGCTGATCACACTTAAGTTTCCACTCATGTGGGGTGTCCGTGGGTGCGTTGATGTAGTGACCTGTGACTGACAAGTATGGATTGCCACTGTCCGAAGTCCAAGAATCAAATGTGAAGGACACTCACCCAGGAATGTCCTTAAGATGCTTGCGGATCCGGGACTCAACCATTTGAGCATGGCAAACAATCTCTTCCCGTATCTTATGACGTCAAGGAATATCTTTGTCAGAAAGGCTGGGGCGAGTGTATGTGAGAAGTCACCGAAAAGCGCCTTTGTCGACGAGTTGAAATGCTTTGTCTTCACCAACAATCAGTTCGACTATGTAGTCCAGCAATACAGCAGTGGTGAATGCTGGTGCTCAATGCTCTCTTACAACTGCACTGTCCAATGTCTTCTGATTAGAGCTGTTAAAAAAAGTTTCATTAGAATCTTAGATTGAGTAGTGGGACATAATGAATTGCGTACAGTACATCATCTGCAGGTAATGCACGCATATGTGGCTGGATTCCACACTTGTGGCATCAATCTTTGTAGAGCTTTGTGTGGTCCTTATGCCTGAGATATGTGAGGTAGGGTACATCAGTAGCAAATTGAAAGCTTACCTCTGAATATGAGCTTGAAGGGAAGTGACACTGCCCTTCAAAAAACTAAACTTCCGAGCAAGACCATTTGCCCTGTTGAAAGTGATGTTAGATAAGTAACAACAACAACACAGCATTCAAAACTTACTTGCAGACCTCACACCAGTGCCCATCCTCTTTCTTTCCAGTATCAGGGTTGATAGTGTTCGACTCACAAGTGAATATTGTACGAATGTCAGTGGTCAAGTCACTTTTACACTGTTTGGCACCCTGCACAAAGAATAAGTTAAGTTGGATGAAAAATTGAATGGAGAGTTCACTTACCTCACGGTCTGCGTCACCCATCTCTTTAGTTTGTTGATATGTTGATGGGGTGTCGTCATCAGTACGTGTATCCATGTCAGTTGCAGTACCTGCATAAGTTAGTACTTTGTTGGCATCATCCCACTCAGGGTCTTCGGCAACTGCATCTTCAGATTCATCCTCAGTAAATACCACTCGCTGTCTAGTAGCTTTGTGTTTGCCCAAGACAGCATTGTTGGGGTCAACAAGCTTGGAGGCAGGACGTGGAACACGAGCAGAGCAACATGAGCCAGCAATCATGATGGCAGGGGGTGGCAAAGGCATATGAGAAGTAGGGAGCGGAGTATCATCATCAGCATCGTGAAACCAGGTGATATCACCGGCGTCAAGAAGAGCATCATTGGCACCTACAGCGCTTTGGTTATTTGACATATTGAGGGGGAGAAAGTCAGGGAACTCACTGTGGTCCCAGTCCGTGTTCTTGCTTTATTGAGCTTCATGGTCAGAGGTCTTTGCAACACAAGTATTAGTAGTTGATCAAACATTATTGCATGAAAGATTTGCTTACACTGTAGGTGTTAAGACCATGCACAAAGGGTAGGACTGATTCTGAGGGGCTTGGCTTCAGTTCGTGCGCTGCACCCCTTACCCAAGTATGTGCCCTTAATTTCAGATTGGTGTCCGAAGAAAGTCCGAAGACGTCCGAAGGCACGGGAAACTTCGGAAGGACTTTCCGTACGGGTGCAAGTAACTTCCAGATGAGTGCGGGAAAGTTCCGGAAATTACAATGAGGTTTCGTCCTGATACGGATATGTACAGTGGCTCAAAAAGTGTCTCAATGTTTCTGACTTTTCGTGTAATTGCTTTATTATGAGCCAGGGTGTGGGAATATGACTATGCTGTAGGGAAGTGTCATAATGCTATACTTCTCAGCCTCATTTATGCTCCCTGTAGCGTGGGAATATGATGTCATCATGTGCAGATATGGCTATTTGAATTTGGTGACTCATTGAGACACTTTTTTGACTTTCAGTTTGATCAACACAATCTCTATAATTATGATACTTTATGTGACCTCCTGTTGCTCTAATCACTTCTGCCACTCCTCTAGCCATGCTATCTATCAATTTTGAATATTTCTTCTCAGTACTCCTTCCTCACTCTGCTGCAACTCTGTCCTACAGCTGAAATAGCCCCTATGATGAATTTTGATAGGCTGCAAGCAATTTCTTAGATATTTTTCAGTAATATTCAATAGGGCTAATGTATGGGGACTGTGCTAGACATGATAGAACATTGATATTATGGTCTTTGAGCTGCTAGTGACTGACTTGGACATATACTTAGGATCATTATTTTATTGCAACATGGTATCTTCCTCATTAATATATGATTTCTGTATGCTTCTTAGCAGACTCTCATCTAAAATAGAGATGTACCACTCTGTATTAGTTCTTCACTTCACTTCACACAGAGAATATACACTCTATTACATCTCATATAGCTCTATACCTCTATGTTTGTTACTCCACACTTGAGAGTTTACACAAATTTTTTTCTTGTAGTGGTTCACCTGTCATTTTATGGATGTATTCCCAGCCATCTGACTTCATTATATTTATCTTGGTCTTATCTCATAATATAATTCTCTTCCAGTCCTCTTTCAGTCCAGTACTGGACTTTAAAGCTGAAGTTTACTTCCTATTTCTATAGGCTAGGGATAGGAGAATCCTCTTCTGATTGATTGTAACTTTAATATTTGTTGCCTTGCAAGTATTGTTGATGGTTTGAGTGGAAACAGTGCTGGAGATGATGAATTGATGAATTAGGTGGCCTGAGTAGCATTAGCAGCCTGCCCAGTTAGAATATGGTAAATGTGAGATCTTCATTCATGTGAAGTAAGATTTCAAGTCAGTCACTAGCAGCTCAAAGACCATAATATCAATGTTCTATCATGTCTAGCACAGTCCCCATACATTAGCCCTATTGAATATTACTGAAAAATATCTAAGAAATTGCTTGCAGCCTATCAAAATTCATCATAGGGGCTATTTCAGCTGTAGGACAGAGTTGCAGCAGAGTGAGGAAGGAGTACTGAGAAGAAATATTCAAAATTGATAGATAGCATGGCTAGAGGAGTGGCAGAAGTGATTAGAGCAACAGGAGGTCACATAAAGTATCATAATTATAGAGATTGTGTTGATCAAACTGAAAGTCAAAAAAGTGTCTCAATGAGTCACCAAATTCAAATAGCCATATCTGCACATGATGACATCATATTCCCACGCTACAGGGAGCATAAATGAGGCTGAGAAGTATAGCATTATGACACCTCCCTACAGCATAGTCATATTCCCACACCCTGGCTCATAATAAAGCAATTACATGAAAAGTCAGAAACATTGAGACACTTTTTTGAGCCACTGTATAATGGCTACTTGGGACTTGTCCTGAGTAGAAGTAAACAGAGGAAAGGCTGCAAGGACAAAGTCCAAAGCAGAATAGGTCCGGAGGACTGTGGGAAAGATCTGGATGAACTTCCGGAAACTACAGAGGATCAGATGAGCGGATGAGCAGAGTATCAGATAAGCAGAGCTCCGGCCTAGGGAGAAACTCCCTAGGCCTGAGATGGATAACTAAGTTGGAAGACTAGAACTGATATGAGGACTTAGAGTGAGATCTAGTGCAAGGACTAATATGATATTCGGACTGAGGAACTACAGGACATATACAAGAGTTTATATACTAAGTGACTATTGGAAAGATCAATAAGCAAAGGTCTGAGGCAGTAGTAAGTATAACCGAGATACCGGAAACAAGGAAATACCGGATAGGTTGTGTTAACGTTATATGCACACGAAATGAATTAAGTAGCTTATCGTATATCGGATTGGACCGGACCGGATCGGATATGGTCCAGACAAGATGCATGGATGTATGGGATATGACATTAGGGCGATAGGACAAAGGATGAATGAAGCAGGCTAGCTGTGGAGGTATGGAGGTCTAATGTACGGAGGTAAAGGAATCTGGATCTGGATGTGTGGATGTGGATGTGCAGAGGTGCAGGGATCCGGATGGGTAGAGGACTGGAGACATGGATAAGGTGTCCGAAGGTCCGGATGAGGCGTGGGAATATTATCGGACATAGGTCCGGAATACGGGATATGACAGTAGGTCGTCTTGTGACTCATTGAGGTCTTCTCTATTGGTCTTCTCTGTTAAGTGTTAAATCAAATAGATGGATGCCAAGTTTATTTGCAAGGTTATTTAATGACGATGACTGATCTGTGTGAAGTGGGATGATGGCAACACTTATCGATGGTGGATATCGATGAAGTTGCTGAGTCATCATGCAAAAAATAAGTATGCGTTTGGACGAATTCGAACACGTTCAAAACAGTCCAAAGACTGCTGAACGTTGAACTGAACACCCGGTTCGGTTCTCCCCAGCCGTCGAATGTTGGACTGGACCGCGGTTCAGTCCACTAAAAATTCGGTTCGAACTGCGGTCCAGGACCAAACTTTTACATCACTACTGGCCTCAATGCACCGCTTAATATTTAAACTAGTCTATGAATGAAAGATGTAACAAAAGCCCAATGGAATGGATTTCAGACCAGGAATGTCAAGGTAAAGCGCCCATGATCACCACTCACATGGGTGTGATACCCTTGCGCAGTGGTAAATTCTAACGCGGGAGGTGTACTTGGTGGGTGGAATAACTGTGATGTTACCTGCATATCAAAATACTTCTCAACCATTAGGAGAGGTTACAGAAGGAATTGTCTAGTGTCGATGCACTGACGTCAATACTTGCTTTAGACAATAATGACAAGACTGTCCCCTTGTGAAGTCAGAGTAAATCTCGGTTGGTACCTCAAAACTCGCGACACCACAAGTTGTTGCTCAGACACGCGAACCATGAAAATATTGTGCCAACAATGCTATACTGGCTCCGCTTAGAAAGGTGCACACAAATTATGATGTTGGAAGTTAGAGCTAACGTTGCTTGTGACGTCCAATCTTCACAGCCAGGCGACTAGGTGAAAATTTGTAAGTCGTCGGTCTAGACGTCGTATCACGTTAAATGTTCTAAGACTGCTGGATTGAACGAGATATTTTGATCCTGCTCAATTTTCTTGACGCCGGAAGTTACAGCTTAATCTTGCTTGCAACGTCCAATTCTCACAATCAGGGGATTAGGTAAATATTGGTAAGCCGCAGGTCTAGACGCCGTAGCAAATTAAATGTTACAAGACTGCTGGATTCAACTAGATATTGTCGTGCCGCTCGATTTTCTGCTAGATACTAAATAAGTCAAATCTCCTCCATGAAAAATATAATCTGCAAACTCTAACAAAAGAGGTTCATTTGGTGGGCAGAGGGACTGTGATTAGTGTTGGCACATTAAAATACATATCAGCTGACAGGACAACCACCGAAGGACATATCTAATATGAATATATATATTTCGTCTGCTCTGTTTGAGCAGCAACATAGCGATTAAATGAAATGATAGATACAGGAAACACTAAAGCAAAACTACAAAACTGGCAGGTTGGTGCCAGTTCTAAATGGGATGAGAAAAATCTTTTGACAGGAAGGCTGGCAGCGATCAACACGATGGAGTGTAGGTCTGAAATTGGCTTTGGAGAGCAAGATACCTTTTTCTAATCAACCTCACGAAAGACAAAAAATAGCAAGAAAAATTATTATTCTGTTCCACTTGCACGCCGGATACAATGATTTTCGCGTAAAGGATTGATTTGCTGCTTGGAGAGTGAATGAGACAATGCTAGAGTTTTAGGTTAGCAACAAAAATTATTATTCTGTTCCACTTGCATGCTGGATACAACGAATTTCACACAAAAGATTGATTTGCCGCTTGGAGAGTGAATGAGACAATGCTAGAGTTTTAGGTTAGCAACAAAAATTATTATTCCATTCCACTTGCAAGCCGGATACAATGATTTTTGCGCAAAAGATTGATTTGCCGCTTGGAGAGTGAATGAGACGATGCTAAAGTTTTAGGTAGGTGATGAGCTATTTGTTTTGTTGCATTCCTGAATATAGTTGATTACATTGAGAGTGTCTCTATGGTTTGGCTCGATTGTAAGAGATATTAAGTTTAGTAGTGGATGGCATGCTGTACAGTATGCATCAGTACTACTATTATCAGCGAAAACTGACCATACATCAAATGATATTCAATTTTGATCACACATGGCGAGTACGACATGATGATTGCATTAAATGTAAATGTTATAAAATGCTTATACAATGACATATAGTAAAACAATGGTCAAGCTACTCCGAATTGAATGCAGCATCCTCTTGTGCCCTTCTCTGTTCTGCCAGCACTGTAACGGACATCTGAGACACAACTTCAGGTGTGAGATCCTCACGGTGATTTTTTCCAAAAATCTTCCTGAATAGTTATGTTAGATATCGGACACATACTATGCCACAATAGCTGATACCTTGTCCACCATTCAAGAAGTTTGCTTACCCTACATTGTACAACAGGGCCAGGGACTTCCTCGAAGAAGTCAACAATATTATTCCAGAATCCTTCATAGTCAAAGTCCCCATTGACGGTGTGCCAAGATGAGACGCTGGATAGCGCAAAACGAACCTGCCAGAAGTAGATGTCGAGTCAGACATCAATGGTGGGCAATCATATTTACTCACTTGACAAACAATATAAGTGATGGAGCGAGGGGTGACTTTCTTCATGTTGATAATGGAGGCCACACACATTTTGACCTTGACTTGATTTAATGCCCGACAAGCGTGCCTGTTATTCTCGAGGATGTCGGCGCCATCGCCATCAGCTTCTCTTGCAGAAGATGGCGATGTAAATATGGCTTTGAAAGCCTAGTATTTTGAGTAAAGTCTACACATTATGATCCCATGTACTAACCTGAACGAGGATTTTCGACTTGAAAAGACCTTTCTCTAGGTCGCTAACATTGAACGAGTAGTTCTCGTACACAAACCATGGCCAGGAATTTTCTGATACAATGAAGTCCAATGTTCTATCGCGAATACTGGCCTTCACACTGCTTAGGTTTCAATGACATGTAATATTTCTATGAAGGTAAGTGCTCACCAGTTATCATTCCAGTCCCACTCAGCAGGGCATAGTAAATTCCCACAAACATCATGTGCGAAGCCACACAGCTGCTTGTCATTAGACCGGAGTAGAGGCGACAGGTGAAAATCCTGATTAACCCAGGTAGCGATGAGGTCCTTAAGGGTGGAAGTATCATCACCATGGGCCGCATCAGCTCCTCTTTTAATCTGTAGCATTATGAGCACACAGCGCGAATTTATTGAGAAAATGGACCTTTTTCAACATATCTTCACAGTCATCAGCATCAAGGTCTGAAAGTTTAGAATAAAACCACGGCAGAGCTTGTGAGAGTGTGAGGTAGCCTCGCTGCAGGCGATTTTGTCTGAAAAATGGAGTTAGATATGTTACAAAAATACAAAAGACATACTCTGGGGTGCTGCCCTCCAAGTTGTCCAATATGGCTTCCTCATACCTGTGATTGTTCTTGGCAATCAAGTCTTCTAGGTTAGTATAAAGGACGCTCATGTGACGAACCCCCCTGCCTTGAGCGACATAGTAGGTAGTTTTTCTTTGATGATCAATGAGTTAGAAGTAGTGAGTAAGACAGTATGCAATGAACCTTTGCTTTGTTCCTCTTTCTTGCCTCATCATTTGTAATTCTTCTTCCAACGCAGCGATGCGGCACTTGGCCCTTGCTTCTGTGGAGGTAGGGACCACCCTTGAGGAGTCTGGGAGTGCGAGGGCATGTGCCCCATCGCCAGGTTCTGACATAGACATGGTAGAAATGACAGGTAAAGTGAAGAGTACGGTAGAGAAGATGGAGGTAAGGAAGAAACCTGCCAGACCATTTTATATATGCGATCGCTAAAAAACTAAGACATATAGGGCAATCCCAAATATGGATGACAGGGAGGGTGCAGTTAAGTAAGTTGGCTCTTCGAAATATGGTGTCATAATGTACTGTTAGTGTTCATGCTCAAATCACTGCTACTGTCTGCCATTGCGAAAGTTGGGATTGGCACGCCGACTCAGACATAGGCTGATGCAGTGGCAGAGTAAGTCCAAATAATGGCCCGAACGTGATTCATGCCCACCTTGAGTCGGGAGTGCCGGTCTTCCATCAACCTGTGTCACATGTTCAAGTTGAATAATTTGAATATCATAATTGTGACGGAGATGAATGCTAAACGTCTAACCTCGAGACAAATTTCTTCTGATGATCTGAGCCCTCCTGAGCCATTTAGGCCGTATGCAATACATATGTTCTAGGCAACTCAACACTCTCAACAGTACGTAGCGGGGCTGCTGGACCGTACTTTTGGAATCTGGCTGATGCAACTGCCGCGGTATGCTGAGCTGGTAATGCTGTGAGTACGGATTCATACATTAAGTTCTTAAGTTCAATGTCATTTTTATTATATAGTACAAATGGACGTGAAGATTACTTGGTACCTATGAGGCGAATCGATGACCCTGCATTGGTGACCTTCACTCCTAGAAATAATGTCAGTTTGACCATTATCAACAGGCCTGGATTGTATGGGAGTGGTTGGGAGGAGTTGGTACATCCCTTGGGGGGGACATATTACTATCATACTAACAAGGCGAGCACTGGCCGATTGTACAAGCAATGTATTTACTAACCTAAATTTTAGAACACATACACGTTGATAAATATACGCTATATCGATCGATGAGGGCTTGAAGATTTCATCGACGTATCAAGAGCCACAGCGAAAGAGGATGAATGGGTACTGGTTGTTCACCAAATGACCTACAGGGGAGAAGATGTATATCAATACTACTATGTGGTCCACTCTCTGTGCATCATTACCTGGCTTTAGGATCTGAACGGCTACCTTCTTTTTCGAGAGTGTATTCAGGCAAGCGAATGGAGGCATAAAAGTACATTTTTATGCAATTACTTGTTCTTTTACTCCATTGTATTATACAGGGCTCGAACTTGAAGCTCAGTATTGGTGAGTGGTCGACAAATATTGTTTCACTTATTTTTATATTTCACTGTTTGGCAGGAGACATGTAGAATTTTTTCCGCACAAGTTCCACATGACAAGCTCACAAGTGAGACACGCATGCAGAGAAATTCTTTGTTACCTTGGAGGTAAGCCCTATATTACTGCAATGACAACCGGAATCACCTGAATGCACAATAGAAGCGACAACTTTGAACCAGTCTACTGCAGCTACAATTTTCTGGACTATAGATCAAATAAGACAGGTTGACGCACAACTTGCCAGTGTTGGTATGTGCCCATGTCTTGTATGGCACAACATCATGATGACCAAGAAATAGAAGCCCTTGCAGAAAACGGAGTCATTGAGGATACTGGCATTGTGCTTTGTTGTACGTGAGTTCGGCCAAACCGACCAATTCAGATACTAATCTCCCAACTCATAGGTAGAATCCTGTACATGCTACGTATGTCTATCCTTCATAAATTGGATGTCACTAAGCCAACACAATATAGGCCACTACCAGTATCTGAACTGCCACAACCAACCCAAAGCTTGCCTCATTCGCAGTCATGCAGTGATAGAGAAATGCAGGATATGAAAAGCTCTCTATTTCATGGGTAATGCGGTGGCTACAATACTGTGTATGCCAATCACAATTGACCACATCAGGAGTACTTCTGTTGATGGTATTGTGAATGGTATGGATGTCAGGGCTTTCATCAACAATTTCAGCAGTCAAGCTAAGAGTCAGATCACTTTGTCACACATATTTCTCATACCTCATCAGCTCTGACAGGCAGGCATTTCTGTGGCCATGGACGTGGCCATCCTTGCCATTCCAGGTCTAGGCACGACAGAAACTTCATGGATGCTTTGCTCCTGCTCCTTACTTTTAGGTGTTGGCTGCATTTTCGCCGCTACAATGGTGCAACACTTTGGGGAGAGAATGAGATCCATTGACTTCACGGTTCAATTCACGCCATATTACTGCAGCCTGACCTTAACCTTGCTTATTGAACAGGTATATTACCTACAAAGGAAGATGATGATGCTGATCGTCATTACAAGTATACCGACTTGCTTTTGCATACTAAGGTCAATCAACTTTGATTATGATTGTCTGCATCACTCATAGAATTTCCACTAGTGTAATAAGTTCCATCTTTGGATTTCTCGCAGGTGTTGCCGCTGACTTCAAGCCATCCACACCCTTAATGATTGCATGTTTTACTACGCTCAGTGTAGTGATAAGTTCTTTACTTGTATTGGTGATTGCAAGTTATGGTCCAGGCTTGTCCAGGACATGGCCCCAGTGACCAGTGATAATTATTTTGGAGAATATTTTATGAAGTATTGCAGAGCCAGAATGGAACGTTCTGCAGCACACGTAGGACTGACTCATACATCTGTCATGAACTGTCCTTCTAAGTCTAGTTTTGACAGGGTAGCTAATGAACACAGTCTTTCTCGGTCCTGCTAGTAATTCAAATATGTCCATACACTCTTTCTACTTTTGATAATGAATCACCGACATTTGTTTTCTTGTGGTGAAATGGGTGCCATCATGATGACAATTGGATCCCATTGCACTAGAGATCCATTCCGGGTGCAACCAACTATCATAAAGTTCAGCTTAGACAGCAGTGTCCAGAGGTGGTCACTGGTGACCATCATGGTCGAAATCTGCTTGTATTTGACAAGATATTGCCCTGAATCCATCACCACTATGAATAATGACCATTTAGTGCCAAAATTATACACATTTTACAATTCTTGATGTGCCATTGCAAACAGCCGCAATCTGTCGTGTTTCCCACAACAAAAAGCATTTGATTTGCTAGCGTCGGGTATCAGCAACAAGTTAGCTTCAGAAGCTAGTGGACTCACCACACGATGTCTGGCAAGTGCTTTGCGTAGTTCCGTGCCCATCACAAACATAATCGGGACATCCTTTTCTATGTCAAAATCAGGCCAGAGGTACTCCCACAGCGGCCATATCTTGTCATACTCCTCGAGTATTTCATCGATGAATAGGTCCGTTTCGGCAAAACCTGGCTTAAGCTTCCTGTACTCAGGAATTTTTTCATGCAGGAGTTCGGCCTTGGCCCGGCATTCTTCCATCCATTTGGCCTTGAGCTCTTCCATCTTGGCCTTGAGCTCTCCCATCTGGCCACAGCGTATTATGTTAGCGATGACGTTGACAGTGGAACAAGCTTGTACGCAGTGTGTGGGCGAGATGAATATCAATGTAGATACAAGTATGGTTGGTGTAGGTCGTTAATCAGAATCTGGCCTTCAGATGGCTTATGTATGTATTTTCAGAGGGATCCGCATGATCCGCATTGTACTCATTCTCACGATGAGCGCTCTTGTGCACTTGACATGGTGCGACCTAGCAAAAGGCAGCGGGCGCATGTTGAGCCCTTCGTCCAAGGCCAGCAGCCCTCACATATACCTTTGCAACAACGTGTACGAGAATACGGGCTCACAAGTGGTGGGCACACCACATTACAGACAGCTTACATCTCACTATCTGAGGTTTCCCTGGGGGAGATGAATGAGTGGCCTTCTTCACCACCACCGCAGACTCAGACTCAGTGCCCAGCTCATGACTTCTTTGATGATGTCATTGCAGATATTAATGCAGACGTCTGTGACCTTCAGCCTGTGAAGCGCAGACAGACTGCAGCAGTAAGTGGTATTTTCAAAATTCAATAATTTGATTTAATCATTAATCACATAGGACAACCCTCTCCTTACTTGGATACCCGAACGCCAGACTTTTCTTGACGAAACCATTTTTTTAGAAGGCCGTGGAAATGAAGCTTCATGTTCACTCTGTCGCTGCGGTGATTCTGATAAGACATACCGATGCAAGGATTGTTTTGGGCTGGAAATGTTCTGTCAGGCTTGTATTCTCCAATGCCACCAATGCCTGCCATTGCATAGAATTGAGGTATGCTTCATTTGGTGTTGGCGAAGTGTCCCTCATCTGGTCTGAATGTAGGAGTGGACCAGTGGCTTTTTTTGCTGTACGACCCTCAAGTCCCTGGGTATGCGGATCCAGCTGGGTCATAATCCCAGTCATCGGTGCCACAATCCACGTCCTTCATCTGGCAACACCTTTGTTGTGATTGATGTCCACGGTATCCATGAGATTACATTGGATTTCTGTGGTTGTGAGACTGCACAAATTCGCTTCAAGCAGCTGCTACGAGCACGCTGGTACCCTGTAACCACAACTGAACCATGGACAGCAGCTACATTTAGTGTCCTCAAGCAGTATCACCTCCTTTCCTTTGAATCCAAGGTTTTGCCCTACAAGTTCTATCACAGCTTAGCCAGACGCACCAGCAACACTGGACTTTCTCTTATCAAAGTAAGTTTTAACTATTTGTTGGAGATCTTTACTGATAGTATGCAGGATCGCTATTCTGCTTTCATGTGCATGGTCCGTGAATGGCAGCACCTACAACAGCTCAGACGCAGCAGTAGATGTCATCATCCTACTGGCGCCAATGAAACTGACAGCAGGGAACTTGCTGTACTCTGTCCTGCATGCCCACATCCAGGGAAGAACCTACCTGACAGATGGGAGACTGCACCTCCATCGATGCGGCAAGTATCTTGTTTAGCCTTTGGTAGGGAGATGCACTGATCTTTCACTGCAGGTGGCTGTATGCACTCTTTATCGCAATTGATGCGAATTTTCGTCTCAAATGAAAAGCAGTCTCTTCAGATGAAGTGGATCCAGGTTTGAATGCTGGATGGGCTTACTTCATGGAAGAAACCACATACAAGGAATATCTATCCATGTAGGCAGGCGAGAGACAAGAGGTATGTAGACATTTTTATCTGTTCGATGGTGTCTGACTTGATGGTTTTTCAGTGCAGCACATGCGTTAGCCACAACGCAGTCAATATGGCAGACACAAAGTCATCGCGTGGCCTTGCAGCGACTGGTGTAGGTACTGTTGACTGTGCACGCCATGAATTCAAGTTACCAACTGGGGTAGGAGACCTTCAAAAGGGTGAAAAGTATGTTTATATTCATTTCAGTTGATGAATAAATTGATGATGCATTCAAGGTACCTCAATATGGACTACTTAGTGTTCTCAGCCCTGGTCGTGTTTACAATCGCAATGCTCAACATTTTGTATGATATCGCATGTCAGTGGTTGAAGAAACTATGGACTAGGATGGACTCCATGCCAACTCGCCTGCATATAGCGCACAATACGATGCTAATCCAATATTTCATTCCCAAGTTTCACATCGGAGCTCACATTGCTGCTTGCCAGACCACATTCTCATGGAATTTAACCAAGTTCGTAGGCAGGACAGATGGAGAGGCACCAGAATGGGGGTGGGCAAATATTGATCGCATGGCATCTAGCACAAAAGAAATGGGACCGGGGAGCCGACGTGATATGCTGGACGACCATTTTGGTGACTGGAATTGGAAGAAGGTGACGATGTTCAGTGAGTTTTTTTTTACTCTGACATTATTCGAAGTTCCTTACTAGCATTGTGAAGGTTGGACCTTGAAGCACAAGATGGAGGACGCAGTGAAGTGGAAGAGGGAACACTGTGGTGCCTTACGCGAGCTGGAGGGAACCATTCAGGCTGTGTTACTTGATGAGTGGAGGCTAGAAATCGAGGCATGGGAGGAGGACGACACCAAACCAAACCCTTTCAAAAGCAGGGTTGCCCGTGAGGCATCACTCGCCCCCTCCACAGCTTTGGCTGACCACTCTTAGCTATTACACAGACTGCAGTGCAGGCTCAGCTTGTGGAGTTAGAAGCACAAGAATTGTGAGCTGGGGCTGATTCATCTCTTCACGTGGACGTCTCGCCCAGCATACTCATAAGTACCGGCATTGAACTAGAAGATCAGCAGTGCGTTAATTTTTCCTTTATCATTATTTTCTTGGTTCTGATGTTACAGCAGACAGAGGTTGAAACACAACATCGCCAATGTCTCCCTTCATCCTACAGACAAGCAACGAGTGACGATTACCAATAGGACTAACATGCTACAGAGACGGATCGACTCGTGGACAAGGATCCAAGAACTCTACATGCCCATTGTTTCAGCACTACGTTTGTCAGCTGACTCTAATGCCAGCACTACCGAAGCTGTTCTAAAGCCCCAACACTGTCCTCTATATTTTCCATCTGCCATTGACGCCCCTTTACATTGTGACCAGCGGTTGCTGGAGCAAGAATGGGAACTATGGCATGCGCAGGCTCATGATGCCCTTAACGAAATTTGTTCTCACCTTCGTCTGCGCTCACATATGTACAAATTCAAGGACAAGAATCTATGTGGTCAAGCAGCATCCACTCGCGCTCAGAATCTAATTGCCCGTGTCGAAGCAAAGAAAGATGCAGGAGTCGATAAATACAGGTGTGCGCGTCGAGCATTGGAGTCACTGAGCGGTTGCTTGGATAAGGTGGGCTGGGGAGAGACTTTGCAGCCTCTTAGAAACAAGGATGTGAGACAGATGGGTGATTTCATGGGCAGACATACTCAGGGAACTGGAACAATCTCATGGATCTGGCTTGCTACAGATGTCGACACCAGTCGCTCCAAAAATGACCGGGTTCAAGATTGTATGTCTCTAGCTTGCTGGGATTGACAAATAACTGATTCCAGTTATAGGTGTTCACATTGAATGGTGTAAGGCTTGTGCATGTGCTGCACGATGGTCTGAGGAAGTGCAACTACTTGTCGAAGAAATGAGACGCATACTGGTCTTTCTGCAGTGGCAGGCTTGCTGGTGGAGCGATCACGCAAATCTATGCATACTGGAGAAGCCCTCCGACCAGGAGGGGCTTCAGGCTTATGCATATCATCAATCTGCACTACATTCTGTGATGCGCTCCTCATTCCAAGCATTGTGGAGTGCCGTGCCTCAACTTGTGGTTTCCACTCAGGCTCTTACCCCCAAGGACGCACCTTCTCTTACCCTCAAGGACACACCTTCAATCGACCACCGCATGACGAACCTCTATGCTACATAGCTGTATTATAGCATAACATGTCCAGGCACTGAATAATCCAGATCGCATTCTTCATAAATCAGTTGGCATCAGCTTAATAAGTCAGATCGGATCTGCGATACCCGATTCCAGGAACAGATCTTGAACATATAGCACGAGGGAGAACATCTAGAACATCTCCAGGACGGTATAGGGAAGGGTAGGGACTATAATCTGTAGTAAAATGATGTATCAGCCCACCCTATGACTTATAGTAATTAATGTATCAGGGTTTTACTATAACTATAGGCAGTGATACATTAATACCACAGGGACAGGTGCCAAGGCAGCACGTTGTGCCAAGTACCAGGTATGTAAGTGTGGATCTAGCATACCGAAAGCTATCATTTTGACTTGGTCTGCGGCATCGACTTCTTTGTGCATGAAGTAAGTTGAACATGCATTGTCCCAATTGCAGGCAACCTTGGGAGTGAGCTCGCCCGGTAAGAGTTTAGGTGGTTTGCTGGGAGCAGATTGCTCCACAGCGGCAATGTTGGTTATGGTACAGGCATAGGGTATATGCATGTTTTCTATGTCTGAATCAGAAGAGGAATCAATGTGATACGTAGCTGTGGCAGCAGCGGGTACAGGTGCATTGTTTGGGAGTCTCGGTGTCTGTGAGGTAGATACTTGGGGTAGCGTGTTCAGAGGTGACCATTCTTGTCTCTTTGCACATGACCATGTGGTCAGAGAGTGAGAAACAGTAGGGGTGTTCCATAAGGAAGGCAGTTTGGCAGGTTCAGTTTGATAGGCGGTAAGCCCAGCAGATGGAAGGGAACAGGGGTTCGCGGTTTATGTCGATGTTAAAAAAAAAGTGGAGACCCGCCGTGTAAGGGTGGGAAACACTAAATGAATCAGACAAAGGATAACAGGACAAAACCATAGGTTTTTATAGCATGATACAAACGAGCAGATGGTGGTAAGTAAGTGAGCCAAGTCTAACAATAAACGAGGCTCAAGATGATGATATAAGCGATCCAAACAACCACGTGACTGATGTGATAAGCAGCATGCTTACAGAAACCGCTGCAAGTATGATTCCCAAGTCCTTGGAAGTGATCTTGGCAATATGGCTCACTGCATCATAACGTCATGTGTAGGAAGAAGCACTAATCCCCGCACACAACATGAGAATATCGGTAGCTCACCGGTTTACTGATGACCCGATGCCTGCCCCTTGTGTTGAGTGGTTCTCCGTGCAGTTAAAAGGCCCCCTTTGTGCGTTGGGTGTCTGCCCACCCACCACTCTAACCATGTTTCCTTCAGTTGATGGTCGCCTTGCTATCCTCGCCGTCTTACCTGCTTCTTTTGTTGTCATCACAGTCTTCAAGAGGTTTACTAGGAACAGACAGAACAAACTTCCCCCTGGCCCAGTGCCGCTCCCACTGCTAGGAAACATCTTGTCTCTTGACGCCAAGGCACCATGGTTGACTTATACCGAATGGGCTGCTGTTTATGGTACGTAATCAGATGGTACTACTGCGCATATGTGGTGCAGATTATTGTATCAGGAGACTTGCTTTTTGTGCAACTTCTAGGCCAGGAAATCATGGTGATCAATTCTCAACACGTTGCAGAAACCTTACTAGACAAGTGTTCTCGCATTTACTGTGATAGACCGGACCTAGCTACACTTAAGCCGTGCATTCTTCTAACATTCTTCCATTCAATCATTAAAGAATACAGGCAGGTTTGGTTGGTCTATCGTTTTTGCATTCGTAGGCTATGGCAACAGATGGCGTCTTTGCCGACGACTCTTCCACCAAACTTTCTGTTCCGACTCTGCACTCAAATTTCGTCCAATGCAGATCAAGCAAGCTCAAGAGATGATCCTCAACCTCATCGACGATCCTCAGAATTACCATTCTCACTTTGCAACGTCAGTCTATGTGTTTGTAAACATCAAATTATTATTAACCTGTTCATAGATTCTTGTCATCAGTTGCAATGTCAGCGACCTACAGCTACCAAACTAGTCCTCGTCATGACCCTCTGGTTCGCAATGTAGAAAATGCAATAGCTCTCGTTTTTCAGGTGATGACCCCAGAGAGAGCAATCTTGCTCAAAACCTTCCCTTTCTGTAAGCTCATCTCATTTCCTCATGAAAATAGCTGACATTCTGTACTCTGCAGTACTGAAGTTACCTGACTGGTGCTGGGGATCCTCAATCAAACGTGATGCTCGAACGTCATCCAATTGTATGAGAGAAATGACCGACATGCTGTTCCAATATGCACAAGACCATATGGTGAGCATCTTTCCTTTTTAGAAATATTAGCTCTGTCCCAACTATTGATCACATGATCATGAAGGTTGAAAACTCGGTACTTGGTCGGGTTTCAATGGTGGCAGAAAATCTTCAACGAATCGAGAAACAAGATCAGTCATCCCAGCCATTGTTTGAGAGTGCCTTAAAGAAAGCAGCTACTACTGCTATTATTGGTTCGTCATCTTTTTACAAGGGACGGTATACCTCCCTTTGATACATATCTATTCAGGTTCATATGAGACGGTTAGCGGATGTCCGAACCATACCATCAACTCCTGAATTTCTTTGCAGACTACTTCAGTCTTGATGGCTTTTGCTCTTGCCATGGTGTCTTACCCAAATGTTCAAAAATGTGCACAAGCGGAGATTGATTCGGTGGTTGGCCAGGATTGGTTACCTACCTTTGAAGACAGGGTGTCACTACCATACGTTGAATCAATTCTGTGGGAGACTTTGCGATGGCAGCCTGTCTTACCCCTTTGTAATGTTCCTCGCTGATGGATCAAGCCTGCACTGAAGACGATATCATAGTGCCACATGCCACCTCGAGTGATGATATATATGATGGTTACTTCATTCCAAAAGGTTTGCCATTTTCTTCTAATGAGCAAATCATCACTGACATCATACACTAGGAGCGATTGTCCTATACAATTTATGGTCAATTCATTCTCTTCAGGTTTCGAGATGTTGACGTTATATTTCAGGGGCATCTCACGGGATGAAAAGCGGTGAAGGCACAACAATTCAGATGGTGAGTCTGAACAATGTTGGGTCTTGCAGAACCTAGCTGCTATTCGACCCTAAAGGGTTTCTGGACTAGGCTTAAGGCTCAGAGGAGAGGAAATATCATAGAAAACTACTGAGCACTCTGACTCATACTGGTAACTGGTGAAAAGATTGATTGATTATGTAAGCTACAAAAGTGCCAACATAAGGTAAGGTAAAAACAGTCTCTACAAGCCCAGCCAGAAATGAATCCCTACAGCGGTACTCCAACGCATTTGTATTTATGCCAGAGAGGTTCATGGATGCCAATGGTGCGCTGATGGACGATAACCCAGCTGAATATATGTTTGGCTTTGGCCGACATAGATGTCCAGGTAGGTTGAGTTATCTCATCTCCGTATGGCATGTGATGAGCCAATACATTCTTTGATCAGGCCGATATGCTGGTGATGCCTCTGTATGGTCCACTATCATTACTATGTTGGCCACGGTGGAGTTTTCTTCTGCCAAAGATGATCAGGGCAAAGTGATTGAATTCACTCCCCAATTCACGACAGGACTCACTCAGTACTTGTTTTTTCTTGTGTCATTTCGTCCCATCACTGTTACAATCACTCTACTTCCTTACTCTACTTCCTTTGCTTCTCACGTATCTGCCATTATGCCCTACATTTTCCTTAGCGGCTTGACTTTCCTTTCTTGGTCTTACTTCCATATTCGACTCTTGTACTATTATCTCACCGTAGCCCTGGTCCGTGCGCATATAGTTTCCTATTTAAGCACGTGTACTTTACTTAGAAACGTCACTTCAATCTTACTAGGTTTTGTCCAGAACTTCCTTCGCTTAAGACCACCAATCTTAAGTTGTCAGAACCGATCTCTTAGTTAAAGCACTCCTTTAACTAAGTCTAAGAACCTCTTCTTATTTGAAGGGCTTTACAAATCTCAGCAACACGAACGCTCTATCGAGCCCTTGCTGTTAGAACTATCCTAGTTCGTAACAAAAGATTGAAGTCTAGAAAGACACCTATATCCATACGTGTCAAAGAAACTTCGAAACCAGAACAGCAAAATCCTGACTGAGCAAGACAGCTAGTGCAGGCGAAGAAAAGGTCGACAATCTGACTTCACTCACCCCTACCTTCCAAGCCCTGAACCTTGGTACTTCTGTACCACCATTGAACATGTCGGCCTCATCCAAAATAACAGAATTCAAGATCAACCATCCTCCTACATTCGATGGCGACAGAGACAAGTCCAAGTCATTCATGCTCTCATGCAATGCTTACATTGATATCAACTCGGAAATCTATAAAACCGACGCTCAGAAAGTGATCTTCATCTCCTCGTTCATGAACGAAGGAAATGCCAGGTCATGGAAAGAAGAATTCCTCGCAGAGGCCCAATACATCGACTCAACCGGACAGAAGAAGGGCTATGGAACCTTGAAAGAATTTAACGAAAGCTTTGACAAAGCCTTCGGACCGATTGACCCATCTGGGACTGCGTTGGCACAACTCCTAGAACTAAGACAAGGTCCAGAAGGCCTGCAGACGTACATTGCAGACTTCCAAAGGTTGCTTACCCAAGCAAAAATCAAAGAAGAACATATGAAGATCTATCATTTCGAGAACGGCCTCAACGGAGGACTTCTGACCAAAATGTTCAACGCAGGAGGAGTACCCAAGAGCCTTGATGACTACATCGCTGCAGTAGTCGATTTGGATAATTGCTACGCAAGATTGTTAGCGCGGAGAAACAGGTTCCCTTCGCGACAAATCCAGAAGAAGAACGGTCGCGGAGATCAAAGATACATCCCTGCCAGAGATAGGGATGCCATGGTTATTGATCGGATCACAGACGAAGCCAAACAAGAATACATGAGGACAGGAAAATGTTTCAACTGTCACCAGATCGGACATCGGGCACGGGAATGTCCACAGAAGAAGAAAGCCCCCTACCCAACAGTAAGGAAGGTAGAGGAAGAAGAAGCTAGAAGAATTGATGAGGATTTTTAAACCGGAGACCTATATCGACGATAGCATCTCCAGAACAACCTGTACGCCTGATACGAACAATTGGTGAAAAAAAAGAACTTCGTGTCCCCATAACCCTCGTATCCCGAACGCGTCAGAAAAACGTCGAAACCACCGCAGTAATTGACTCCGGAGCATCAGGAACCTATATCTCCGAGGACTTCGTAAAGAAGCATAACATCGGAACCAAGAAACTCGAAAACCCTTTTTACATTAAAACCGCCGATGGAAGCTACTTCAGTAGCGGACCGGTAGAACGGTATTGCACGCTGATCATCCAAATCGACCAAAGGATGATGATAGGAAAATTCAACATTACCAAACTAGGAGAAAAAGACCAGATCCTGCTAGGGATCCCCTGGCTTCGAGCCATGAACCCCGCTATAGACTGGACCAAACAGACAGTATCCCTTCCGGCAACAGAAAAATCTGCCGAAATCGAGAAATATGTCAAGCAAACCTCTCGACCAAAGAAAACCTTCTTCACTAAGAAATTCAATACGAAAGAAGACGCTTGGAGTACGTCACCATCATCTCTAACCGAACTTACGGACGAAGGAGAATATCTCCGACAAATCGAAGAGTCGTCCAAGTTTAGTAACAAAGCACAGGAGTTCGCCTCAGAAGAAAAGGAAAAAAGAAAAAAAACTTTTGAAGAATTGGTACCGGAGTATCTCCATGATTTCTCTGACGTATTTGCAAAAAACGGCTTGAACAAACTACCCCCCGAAAGACCCGGTATCGACCATCGTATTGAAACGAAGCCCGGATTTATTCCCAAAACGTCCAAAATTTACCCCCTTTCCTACAACGAACGAAACGCAGTAAAAAGATTTATCGAGGAAAATCTTGCCAAAGGGTTCATCACGAAATCTAAATCCCCTCAAGCAAGCGGATTCTTTTTCGTAGGAAAGAAAAGCGGAGAACTCAGACCATGCCAGGACTATCGCTTCTTGAATGACCAAACTATCAAAAACGCGTATCCCCTGCCACTCCCATCATCTTTGGTTGAACGGTTACATGGCGCAAAAATATTCACAAAAATTGATATTCGATCCGGATACAATAACATTCGGATTCATCCGGATGACAGGTGGAAAGCCGCGTTCATCACGGAAGAAGGACTTTTTGAACCCACGGTCATGTTCTTCGGATTATGCAATTCCCCCGCCACTTTCCAAGCGTATATGAACGACACGTTCAGAGCTGAACTCAACAAAGGATGGCTCGTCATTTACATGGACGATATGCTCATCTTCTCCGAAACAACCACCGAACACCAACAACAAACCTGCATTATTCTAGACAAACTTCGAAAAGAAAAGTTATTTGTCAAACCGGAGAAATGCACGTTCGATGCGGAGGAAGTGGAATACCTTGGAATGATTATCAAACCAGGAAGTGTAGAAATGGATAAAGAGAAGACGGCAGGCATCAAGGACTGGCCCATCCCTGAAACGGTTAAGGATGTTCGATCCTTTTTGGGTTTTTGTAACTTCTACCGAACCTTCGTTTCCCACTACTCGGATATTGCTCGACCCCTTATCGACCTAACAAAGAAGAACATCTCGTTCTCTTGGACGCCCCTGTGCCAGCAAACGTTCGAGAAGCTCAAAGAATGCTTCACTTCGCACCCTGTTCTTCAGAACCCTGACCCCCACCATCAATTCGCCATCGCTACGGATGCTTCTCTTGTCGCGTCAGGAGGAGTATTGCTGCAAACTGACACCAATGGCGTTTATCACCCGTGTGCATACCTATCACAGTCATTCAGCCCTGCTGAGAGGAATTACCCCATTCACGATCGCGAGCTGTTAGCTATTATCCGCGCTCTCACCCATTGGCGACATTACCTCGAAGGACATCCACAACCGGTCATTGTGTTTACTGATCATATGAACCTCCTCTATTTCGCGAAAGCAGAACGACTATCCAGAAGGCAGGCCAGATGGCAACTACTCCTCACTTCTTTCGACTTAAAGTTATATCACGTCCCCGGTACAAAATTAGCAGTTCCGGATGCCCTTTCTCGCCGGCCAGACCACGGCGACGGATCGGGAGATAATGCCGACACCGTCCTCCTTCCTGATTCCATGTTTATCCGCCTAATCGACGATGAATTACGCACAGCTATTGCTTCCACCGCACCCCTTGACGACCCCCTCTTCTCTGCCGCGCAAGATGCCCTTAATGGCCTATGTTTGCCTCCTATGAAATCTTCACTTAGCGACTGGCGTATCGCCGATGATATTCTGTTCTACAAAAATAGAGCTTATATTCCTCCCGCGCATCGTCCACAGTTGCTACGGAAGCATCATGATCACCCTTCTGCTGGGCATCCCGGACATTTTAAAACCGAAGAACTCGTCAAGCGGGAAGCTTGGTGGCCCAGTATGGGCACCTATATCCGCAACTACGTCGATGGCTGCGCTACTTGCCAACAGATGAAGGTGGACACTCACCCTGTGACTCCACCCCTGCTCCCTATCAGCACTATGGCTACTCGCCCCTTTTCCCAGATCTCCGTCGATCTCATTACTGATCTGCCCGTCTCCTCTGGCTTTGATAGCGTCATGGTCGTGGTAGACCACGGGCTTAGTAAGGGGGTGATCATTACTCCTTGCCATAAAACGATTACCTCGGAAGGAGTGGCGAAGCTATTTTTAAAACACGTCTTCAAAAGATTTGGTCTCCATGACAAAGTAATCTCCGATCGTGGACCACAGTTCCTATCCAGATTCTCGATCGAACTTGCGCGACTCCTAGATTATTCTTTAGCCCCTTCCACTGCCTACCACCCACAAACCGACGGACAGACCGAACGACTAAACCAGGAACTCGAAACGTATCTTCGAATGTATTGCCAGAACAATCCTTCTGAATGGGTGGAACATCTCCCTATGGCAGAATTTGTTCACAATCACAGAAGGCACTCCGCAAAGGATGCATCCCCTTTCTTTATCATGATGGGATACGAGCCGAAAGCTCTCCCACACTTACTTCCGGAATCAGACGTTCCCACTGCTGAGGAACGAGTCAGAATTCTTCAAAAGATAAGAGAAGAAGCCGTCTCCTGTCATAACATTGCTATGCAACGCATGGCGGAAAGATCCTTCGGACAGAAGTACGAACCATGGAAAGCCAGAGATAAGGTATGGTTGTCAGCTGCCAATCTAAGACTATAGCTCCCATCCCGGAAACTGGCACCCAAAAGATACGGCCCGTTCACTATCACGGCCGTGCTATCCCCTATCACATTTACGCTCCAATTACCACCGCAATGGAGGATCCACCCCACGTTCCACGCTTTGCAGCTATCCTCCTATCGCGAAAATGACGTACACGGTCCGAACTTTCTAGAACCACCACCTGATGTTCTCGAAGAAGAAGAAGAAGAATATGAAATAGAAGCAATCCTCGCACATAAAGGGAATGGAAATCGCCGTCGATATCTCGTATCGTGGAAAGGGTATTCTTCGGCTAGCAACGAGTGGATCCCCGAAAAGAATCTGGAAAATGCCGAAGAGACCCTTAGAGCCTATAAAGCCAGAAGCGCGATTTGAAATCACCCAATACCTCGACGACATCGTTTTCACCCAGATACAAGACCTGCAACCGATATGCCATTCCCCACATCTACCTATACACTCCCCTACCACTCTACCTTCGAAACTGCCACCCTCGACTCCAACGATGAACGATACGAAACCTTCATCACCCAAGCTGAAGACCTCACCCTCATCGAGGCAGCACTCCTCTGCCCCCAACATGCTATTGAGCTCACTAGAGTTCTCTTCAGAAGAAACGCCCACTCCATTAACATCCTTATCAACATCATCCGAGCCACTGAAAT